AACAACAGCACTTTAACGGTAGTATGTTGCTAAAACCGCATTATTACGAAATCTTAACAAGTTTTAATATGCTTTTTAAAGTTTTTTTGACTGTCCAGGTTGTAATGGTGAAATTTAAGAAGGCTAGTAGACTGTATTCAGGTATGTAGAAAGTTTAGAAATGGCCAATCATGGTCAAAAAAATGTGTTTCGCAGTTCACTAACGGCAATATCGACGCATTTTGTGAACATTTTCTTCTCAGAAAAGAAAAAAAACATTTCCGAAAGTAAGATAGATTGTTCTGACCGATCTTCCGAAGGAGTCACTGATCTTTCTGAGTCTTTTTTATGTGCGTCATGTCAAACACTAAAATATAAGAAAAAATAAAGCATTTTCCAGCGGCTTTCATGCAAAATGCTGTAAAGTTCTTAGAAATGACAAAAATCACAGTACTTATAAGCGCTTTTTGTAATGAGCATTGGAAAGCGCTTAAAGAAATAAAAATCTACAGCGATTTTCAATGCGTTCCGTGATAAGTGCTGGGAAGTACTTAAAAATATAAAAACTTACAGCACTTTTCAGTACTTCTCATGATAAACGCTGGAAAGCGCTTATCAAAGGCCATTATAAGTTATATTAAGCGGCTTAATTGATTCAAGCCGCTTTCAGCAGCTTAGAACCATAATGTTTAAGCACTTTAAAGCACTTAATTGAAGCGTAAGCTTATTTGAGCGCTTGAAATTAGCTTACACATGCAATAATTTTCACATGGGTGATACATATAAAAAATTAATCTAGAGCTAATCGAGAAAGTTTTCTTCTATCTAAATTTGCAGATTTATTGATAATGGATCACGATACTAACTATGTTTCCAGTGGATCGTCATCTGTAGATGACTTTTCAACAATTTGTTCTAAAGCACACAACAAGAAGGACTTTGCAGAATTTAAGCTTAAGTATAAAAAATCAACAATAAAGCAAAATTTTGGCAAAAAGAAAAGAAAACGCCACTTTAATAAAAAACTAAACGATGTGCAATCAATGGAAACACAATCAATAACAATGCGATCAACTGAAATGCTTTCATCGCTAACACAGTAAGGATAAAATATGTTTATTTTGATATCTTTTACATTTAATTTCATTATCCTATATATTGTCTATGTTAATGCATATGTGTAGACCTTCTGAAATATCTGATGAATCAAAAACGTCTCAAATTTTTGACATGAAACACTTGCAGGATGTTCTTGATAAAGCTCATGTATGTGATGGTGGCCGTTTACAATTAATACCGAATGCATTACCATCTATAGGGTTATTCCATCAAAATGTTTTACGTTGTACAAAATGTTTTAATGAAACTCTTTTGACTAATTTTCAAGTTATACAACCCATGAAAGCTGAACAACAAGAGCCCAACAAAAGATTAGCATTAGCTGTGGCAACAACTGGTGTTGGATACCGTGCAACTAAGGCGATAATGGTAACGTTATCTTTATCAATCCAAAGTGAAAGGACATTTTTACGATAGTTACATAAGTACTATGATGGCTTACATAATTTTGCACAACAACATTTTAAAACAGTTATTAATGATATAAAATCTAGAAAAAATGATCGACAAAATATAATGAATATCACCGTTTCCATCACTGGAACATGGAAACGAAGGGGCCATGTATCGAATTATGGTATAGTTTATATAATTGATGTTCAATCAGGACTTTGCATTGACTATGAGGTCATGGCATTGTTATGTGAAACATGTAATTTTAAAAAATCAAAATTATCACCATCTCAATTTACCAAGTGGTACAAAAAGCACCAACTATTTTGTCATAAAAATTATGACGGTACATCAAAATCGATGAAAAAAGAAGGCACCGTTAGGTTATTTCAACGATCTATAGTGAATGGTCTTCGATATACACATATGCTTTGTGATGGTGATGCATCCGCATTTGAAGCAATAAAGCATTATTATGTTAAGCAAAGTCAACAACAACAAGTCCATCTAAAATCAGACACTTCAACTTCAAAAAAAGAGCAAAGCGATTTGAAGCATGGAGAAATCGAAGATCTTGATGTTGAAGAAGAACAAGAAGAAGAATATGATGCTGGTGTTGAAGAAGAACAAGAAGAATATGATATTGGTGCTGAAGAAAAACAAAAATATCAAAGTGTTGATTCGTCTAATAATTTGATAGTGATCAAAGAAGATTGCATAAATCATGTCAGTAAGCGTGTAATGAAGTATTTATTAGAAATGAAACGACAAAAAACTCGACTAGTATCATTCTCAAAAGAAGTGTCAACATCTAAGAAACAATTATCAAAGCAACAACTCTTGGATGATAATAAGAGATGGGGAGGTGGTCCTGGTAGAATGACCAACAACATGATGAAGAAGTTATCAAATGGTTATGGCCTTGCTGTAAGACAGGCCAGCGCACTAGCAGCTGGTAAGATAAAAAATAACAACATTAAAATTTCCTTTTCCCACTATGGAAAGACGTTTGATATCTTTTTTTGCAAAAAGTCTATTTAAAAATTTTTTAATGTATTTATTTAGGTAAAGAAGTTAACGAAGCATTAGATATTATGCAGCAATTTACTCGGGCTGCATTCTATCACTATTTAAAAAGCTGTTAGCGCAATCCCTTGCGGGATTAAAAATGTGAAACACGATGGCTCTATTATTACTAATTAAATGGAAATCCTTTTCTTCCATTACGTTGCGATACATTTGTAGCTA